CAATCTGCTGCAGTTTGGAGAGGGTAGTCAGGGAGTCAGGAAGGGATGTCATGGCGTGGCACTTTTCTAGCTGCAGCACCGCCAGTTCCCTGAGGTCGCCCAGGTTGTCAGGTAGTGAGGGGAGGTTGGTGTTGACAATGTGAAGGTGCACCAGAGACGACAGCAGGTCCAGCTGAGACAGTCCAGTGGCAATGGGGCCTCTAGGAATCTCTTCTAAACCAGCGCAAGATGCAGCTATGTCGTCAGTTTCGAATTCGGCTGGGGTTTGGGCGAGGGCTGGTGGGGCTATAAGCTGCTTGAGGGATCGAAGGTCGTATATGTTTAAGTGGAGAAGGCAGCTGAGGGAGAGAAACGACTCCGGGAGGTAGTGGGCTGATTTGAAAACGTTTGAGATGATTATGGATTCGACAGAGCGTGGAAGAGTGATAGGTGCTACGAGTGGGGAGGGGGGAGAGGAGGAGGCGGATAGAGAAACTGCGGTGCTACGGTTTGCAAGCTTTGAACTGGTGCAGTATTCAAGCGTGAAATGCTCCAGCCTGGGCAGCAAATCAAGGCCCTGTGGAAGGTTAGTCAGCTTGGGGCAGCAAGAGATCACCAGCTCCTCGAGCAATGGGAGGGGAGGGGGGGCAGCTGAGGAGGAGGTGGCAGCGGAAGTACAAGGTCCAGTAGCTGTGGTGGAGATGGCAGTGGGCAAGAGCGATGGGAAGACGCGCAGGCGCTTGCAGTTCTCCACTTTTAACACTCTGAGGCTGGCCAGATTGCCCATGCCCTCTGGAAGCTCCTCCAGCATCTCACAACCATCGATGATCAGCTGCTGCAGGCGGGTGAGCGAGCTGAAGGAGGGCGGAAAGCCCTGCAGAGAGCAGGAGCCATCGAGCTGAAACTCCTCGCCTTCGCTCTGGTACCCCAGATGAGCAGCGGGCGGGACAGTTTCCGAAGTGATCCCGAATCTTTTGTACGTGTCCGTTGATTGCACTTTCAGTATCTCCAGGTTCGCCAGCTCCCCGAACCTATCAGGCAGGTACGGCATGGAGCAGTTGAGCAACTCCAGTCTACGTAGCTGCGACAACTTCTCGAAACCTAGGGGCAGGTCCATAAGAGAGGATCCGCCATAGATGAGTAGGGTTTCGAGGGAAGTGAGGTTGGTGAATGAGGCTGGGAGCTCGACGAGGTCATAGCACTCGTACAGGGTTAGCTTCTTCAGACTCCCAAGCTGCCCAAAAGAGTCGGGCGGATCAGAAAGTCGCGTCGAGAACAGCTTCAAAGTATCGAGGTTTTGGAGCTGCCCGATGTCGCTGGGCAGGTCAGCGAAAAAGCAGCCGTCAAGAATGAGGCTGGTGAGTGCTCCCATGGCGGATACAGAGTCAGGGAGGACCTCGAGATTGGCGCACTCAACCGCTTTCAACTCCTTGAGGGCTGTGAGGTGCCCCAGGGAATTCGGAAGAGCCGTGAGTCGAACGACAAACTTCAGGTACAGGTACTCTAGGGCGGAAAGCCGACCAATGTCTTCCGGTAGCGATGACAGGCTTGGGCAGGTGTGGATGGTCGGAGAGGATGCAACGGGTTCCCCAGGGGGCAGTTGTCCGAAAGAAATGGGAAGCGCAGTGAAAGCAGGCAACTTGTCCAGGTGCAGTGTATCCAGGCTGGGCAGCTGAAAGAGATTCTCTGGTAGCCTGACAAACCGGGGGCAGTGGTCGAGAGAAAGGCGAGAGAGGGCCGGGAGTTGACAGATTGAGTCTGGCAGTTCCGCAAGACCTGGCAGATGCGAGAGGCTGAGGATCTTGATGTTATGAAGGTGCCCTAAATCCCTCGGGAGATGGCCCATAGGGCAGTTGCGAAGGGAGAGGTGCTCCAGAGAGGTAAGGCAGCTGAAGGGATTAGGCAGCATGCGAAGGGACTGCGACACAAGGTGTAACTCCTTCAGTCGACACAAGCTCAGCAGCTCCCCGGGTAACGCGGTAACGTTACTGAAGCTCATGCTGAGCCGCGTGAGCTTCTCCAGGCAGCTGATGGAAGGCGGAATCTCGCAAACTCCTAAACCCAGCCGTAGATCCAGATTGACCAATCGCGTGCAAGAACTAAAGATGGCGGCGACATCGGCGGGTAAGATTGCTGCAGAGCCAGTCGACTGCTCCGCGGGGCTGCTACGGACCGACTGCATGGACGTCACTGGCTGACGGCCGTACAGGTGCATCGTGAGGTGCGTCAAGGACGAGCCACATCCGTCGCAGATGGATCGCACGAGGCGGCTATCAACAGAGTTCATCGCGAATTCGCCGAGATGCAGGTGGCGAAGATTCGGGAATCCCAAGGTGGGTGAGGAGAGGAGCGAGGCGAAGGTTCGTGCAGAAAAGAAGCGGTTTCGAGGCACGACGATGGCGGGATGCACGGATCTGGCGACGCGCAGCCATCGCTTGCACACCAGAGCGTGGCGGAAGGCGGTTAGCGACGAGGCTAAGGCGACAGGAGCCTCGGGCATGCCGAACCACACGCTCTCACTCGGCAGGTGCTCGGTTAACGTTTTCTCGATCTTCTTTTGCAGTATGGCCTCGTTATTAGGAGGAGAGTCATTGCTATCGAATCTGGTGCCCTTGGATGCGACGAGGAGAAGAATGGCTCCTAGCAGGTCGTCAGAAATGCGTGAAACTGGATCTTCAAGGCCTCTAATTCGTTGCGGCTGCTGTGGGATGTCCCCTTGCGCTAGCTCAAGAGTCGCCATGGAGTCATAGAGACGAGACATTATTCTTAGAGATGTCAACTTTTGCCAAACGAACCTGCTCCCTGCCCTTCCTCCCTAGCTTGCGCCTTGCGCCGAGGGCCGGCTGCGCCCTGCTCCTCATTCCTCCTTGAGTCCACCCTCCCTGAGTCCACCACGGCCTCCCTGTGCTGTGTCTCCACTCTGACCGTGGCGGCGAGTTTGCCTCCGGTCGGCTTGGCCAGTTCTGTCATGAGGAGGGCATCACCTAGTCGTACACCCTGCTGGACTCCCCGCAACAGAATGGGGTCGCTGAGCGATGCATCAGTTTTCTGTGGCCGTTCGTTGTTCGCTACGCCGCTCACCAGCTTAACCGGTGGCCGCACTCCCAGTGGCCGCAGGTTTCGCCGACCCTTCTCTGGACCGGGTTTCATGGTGACGCGTCTGCGTTCCACGTCTGGGGCTTGCTCACGTTCATGCCTCTGGCACGGACAAGCTCATTGCTCCCATTGTCCCCTATGTCTTCCTTGGTTTCTATATCGACGCGTCTGACTGGCACTTTTATCACAAGCCGTCTCACCACTTCTTTCACTCGCGTGACGTCACTTTTAACGAGTCTGTCTCCTTCTACCACCGCTTTCCCCACCGAGGTCTCCCGGTGTGCCCGCCTGTGAGAGTACGATCCCGTTACACCAGTTTCCCCTTTCCATATTTTATATATATTTCATCCCTCTTTTTATCCTGATTCATTTGGTCTTTATTTCATCTCATTTGATTTCCTATTCCTCCTTTTCCATTATCCTTTGGTTTATCCTGTTATTATGATTATATCACCGACTAGGCTCAGGATGTACTGGCACGCTATGTCTAGCGTAATCCTGCCGTAATCCCTTAAAGCTAATAACCTCGCGTGGCTATACGCAAGGTGATTCTATTTCTAGAAGGGGTCTATTCCTTTTGGATATGATAAACCTGGTTACCTTATGTACTCTAAAAGTATAAAAGCACCTTGTACTGATTGATAGTGCAACATTGAGCAAACCTTATTCGATCCTGTGATACTTGGTAATCAGAGCCAAGGTTTCAGCTCAACGCTTAGCTGTTAAGCCCCCAGGAGCACGCCGAGGATAGAGTCGAAACTTCAATTCCTGTAAGTACAATGCACTTTCATTTAAGTTTCGACTAGCCTCGCGCAGTTGCACCTGGGGTCCCCTTCAAAGGCGAGATGCCTCGCTGACCGTTCGATGGAGTGCATCGACGGAGTCGATTTTTTCGCGGGGGCAAACGGCCTCGACCTCGCGAACGCGTCAGTTCTGGCGGAACACTCCCTGCGACATTCCAAGAAGTTCGCAGTTTGCCACGACTCTTGGAGTTGCGCTGAAATGCGCGGAGCTGCGACCGACGACATCCGTCCGATGGAGGTCCAACGCTTCAGTTCGACCGAGGCGAAACGAAATCATTATGAGCGAGTTCAAGTTATAGCGCGAATGGGAACGGGGCCTCGCAAGCCGCGAAATTCTCCGGAGCGTCCGATCTTTTGACAGCCGACATCGACGGCCGAGAATTGCTGCAGGAAACGAGTCAACCTCGAACGACGGCCCTAGCATCCTAATGTTTTGGGGGTCCATGCGCGTGTCGCCTGGGACGGGGGGGAAGAGGGGGGGAGGGGTTTGGGGGATGGAGATGCACGTGGTGTGAGGTGAGAGGATCAGCAACGGCTGCTGCGAGCAATACTTTGCATGATGGGTGAACTCCTATGGCACATGAGTCAGCTCAACTTCACCTGGTCATGGGTTGGTGTTGGAAAGATTGGATACCATTGAAGGTGATGAAGCTGACATCAATGCTGGTGTTGCCGTGTCGATATAGCTGTTGTCCGCTAGGTAGTGTAGATGCCTCCTGGCGCCGTCGTTGTCGAGATTAATGTCAAACACCAGAGGGTAGACCGTAAGTGTATCCTACAGGAAGGGGGGTACAGTACACAGAGCAAGGTTAATTGCCCGCTGATCAATATCCAGCTGGCTATTGGTCGTTCCTCCAAACATTGTCACACTACCAGGCCGAGCGGAAACCAAGCTGGCTCTACAGGGCGTGCAGTGCAGAATTAAGAGAAACAGGGGGTTTGCAGTAGGAGCCTCCCATGGCTTTTTGCTTCGCTAGTTGCACTAGCAGTGCGGTAACGAAGCAAACAACCCAGTGCAGAGAGGTGCAGAGTGATGCAGAGGATCACGATGGGGTAGATGAAGCCGTAAGGGAGGCCTTGCGGGTTGAACTGGAGCTTGTTGGCAAAGGTGTTGTTGCTGTCCAACTGGCTCATGTCGGCCGCAGCAGCGCTGTCAAAGATGGCTGACGTGGGCAGGAAGTGCGGGTTCACTCCAAATGGCTCCCTGGCCGTGCTGTTGCTGCACCACCCTGCTAGGTGGAGCAGGCTGGGGGTGGGGATGGGGGTGGTAGGAAGGAGAGGAGGAGTGGTGATGTGAAAGGGCAGGGGAACTACTTGTTTACAACGCCTGCAGAGGAGAAAGCAGCAACTGATTTTTCAGTCGACTCTAAAGGAGTTTTTTTTTAAGATTTTTGAGTGGACTCAAAAGGTAAATTTTGAGAGAATTATGAGTCGACTCAAAAGGTGTTTTTTGAAAGAGTTTTGAGTCGACTCAAAAGGTGATATGTGAGAGATTTTTGTGTGGACTCAAAAGGTGATTTTTGAGAGATTTTTGAGTGGATTCAAAAGGTTATTTCTGAGAGGTTTTTGAGTGGACTAAAAAATCACCGAGTGCTTGTTTGCAATGCATGTTGAGGAGAAAGCAGCAACTGATTCTTAGACCCATAATGCCATAATGTGCAGTGTGACTTTTGAGTTGACTCGAAAGCAGTAACCGATTCTCATACTCATAAAGCCACTGTGAGCAAGGTGCACAAACGACCTGAACACACATTCACCAGCCCACTCAAGCGGCAGAGCACTCAACTCACCACTGGCCATTGCAGACCTGCGTGCCTCATCGCTCCTGCTGCAACACCATGCCGATCAACAGAATGACAGAGAGAGGAAGGGAAAGACGGATGGGGAGGGAGGAACAAGTGAGAGGTGCATGTGAGGGATGAGTCTTGGAGGAAGAAGTGGGGAGCATGGAACAACATGGTTTTGCAGGGCTCCAGCAAGGGTTTCCTACCGGTTGTGCTGCGAGACAAAGCGGTTGACAGCGGTGCCCCTCTCAAGAGCGAAGGCGTGGTTGCTCTCAGTGTAGTTGGGCATGTAGCGCTGCAACGAGAAGGGGAGGTTGAGGTTGGTGCCCACCGCTGTGGACAGGCAGCAAACCCGCCCATGCAAGGGGTGGTGGGAAGCGAGAGCATGCGAGACTCACAGCTGTTGTCTCTGCGGGTGAGGTCGGGCGAGCAGGGGCAGACCTCAAGGTCGAAAAGAGGGTCCACGCACGCACCGTCACCGCCGTCAAAAGCACACGTGGGTGTGTTGCAAGCCGCGTCACACACCCCGTTGGCCAGCCGCTGCAGCTGGCAGCCCGGCGAGCAGAAGTAGACAGAAGAGGACAAGGGGGTGGTATTGGTGGTAGCAGTGGCAGCAGTGGTGGCGGGGAAGGGGGAAGGGGAAAGTGTGGTGCTATAGGCGGGGGCGGCGGTGGAAGCATTATCACCTGTGATGCATGCATGCACCCACGGATAAGGGAATGAATGGGAGAAAGTCAGAGAGGTGGGGGTTCGGAGGAATGAAAAGAAGGGCCCGCAATGAGTGGAGTGACTAGAAGACACAGGGGAGAAAGCACAAGCGAAACTCAGAGATGCACTCTGGAGCGAGCTTTGAAATGGATATCGTAGTTCACTCAAGGGTGCCGCTACAAAGGCATTCTCCCATGCAGTGCTCACACCAGCAGCATCTACTCCCGTCCTTGCAGGAAGCATAGTGAGAACGCAGGCAGAAGATGAGGCAGAGGAGGACAAGGACGAGCGGTCAGAGGAGGAGGGGGAGGGGGAGGAAGGAAGGGGCGTGTTGTCCGCCGTGCGTGGCAGGGCATCGTCCTTGTAGTAGATGGTGGTGGGCTGGTCGAACACCTTGATGTACGAGAAGGAACTTGTCCTCCACCCTTGGAGGCACGGCAGGGGTGGGGAGAGGAGGGGAGATGAAAGGAGGAGCAAATATTGGGAGGGTGGGCACGCTGAGGGTCTGAGGATGAGAAAATAGGTCTGAGCAGGCTTCTTGCTGGGAGTGGTGCAGTGCTCTACATGCTGATGCTTCTTGGAGTGTAATGAGAAATGAAAACGCAGTGCATGAGTGTACCACTCCACTCACTCCTACACTCCACCCCCACTCATGGAGCACACAGCACGAGTTGTACATCGGCCCGCCCCCACACCCCATTCCACTCACGGAGCACGCAGGGCAGCGGCTCGTCGTGCATGTTCCCCCTGCCCATGTACATGGGCGTGCACGCCATCTGCCGCGACACCACCAGGTGGCCAGGTTGTAGCCGCTGATGTACCGCCCCTCCTCTTTTCCCACCCCAGGCGCCACTCACCCCACACCCCAACCCACTCACTTCCCACAACCCCCCTCTCGCCCCCCCTCTTCCACTCATGGAGCATACACGGAAGAGGCTCGTTGTGCACGTCCCCCCCGCCCACGTTCATGGGCGTGCATGCCATCTGCCATGGCACCACGAGGCGGTGCCCGCCAATGGAGAGGAACAGCACGTCGTTGGGGTTGCCCATCCCCACCACTGGTGGTGCACACCATGGGGGTGGTGGGGTTGGTGGTGGGGCAAGAGGGGTTGTGGGGCGAGAGGAAGTGA